AGGTCCATAAGGAACTTTATAGTTCATATTTGTCGAGCTTCGGTTTATATATCAACCCAAACTGTGGTGCGCAAAAGCCGGATGGAAATGAAAAAAAATCGTTTTACAATATTTCCTGTTTATTTTGCCAGCAGAGGGATGAAAGGCAGTTTCAGAATGCAAATTTCCCTAATCACGGTTCGTGAATGCCCTAGAACTGTTGACCGACGATCTTGAATGTTGTGGCATTCGCGGTTTCTGGATTGAGACAGTGATTATGTGCTTTGGGTTCGAAGTTATCAATGATGGCAAAGGGAGCTTCGTAAGCGGTTCCATCGGCATCGATCTGAAAAGGGAAATTCCAATGGACCTTCTGTCAGGGAGGGGACTTTTAGAATACAGGAATTCAAATAGGAAACCTGAAGCCAAGCCTAACGGGAAGCAAATCACTTTCTAACACAAAACGTAACTTACCCTTAGCAAAATAAACCTCGTCGACGGATGACCTTTTCCATGGAGAAGTTCTAATGGACGTTAGCGCTACCGTAGGAACCCGTGATCGCTGACTCATCACGCCAAGTCCTCAGTCCCGCTGATTGCCCATACCCTGTTCACCTCTCGTTCAATGTCTGGCGCGACCTATTAAAACGCCCAGTCTCGGATGCGTCTACACCGCAGCGCAACCTCGCGCGGTCTGACCAATTAACACGAAGGCTGACTGAGTAAACGAAAGCTAGCGGTGATTGCTCGAATGTCTGCCACTAGACATCACTTTAGACCCGTCCCAACTAGGGACCGGATGCACTAGTTCGCGAGAATAACTTCTTCCTAACTATTCTCCTTTCCATCTGTCCAGAATGCATTCTTCCTACTACTCTGGCCTACCCAAGATTTCTCTCCTCTCCCAAGAAACTGGGCCCGGAAGATCGCAGTCGTTAGGGTTGAACTCAATTAGCCGTAACACAACGCGATAAAGACTTGCAAGTCAGTCTATTTATGCATTTTGTTCACTACAACTATTTGACTTGGTAATTACGCAGGATTTCAGAACCGTTACGCGGTAAGCCATAGTTCACCTTTTCTGTGGGCGAATAATCCGTAAGACGGCTCATAATACCGTTTCCGTGTTTAACTTCATCGTGAAATGTACATTAATTATTTTATCACAAATAAATGTATTACTAGAGTGTTCATCGTTGAAACTAAATCTAATCAGTGAAATAAATACAAAGCTGCTCACACCAGCGACCTATTCGCCACGAAAGACCGACTACAAAATGCCTACATGGGCCATTGGACTGACGTCAACAAGGCAGCCTTCTTCAAATGCTAGTGCCTTGTACAGTAACGGTTCTGCGAGAGACAGGATGCCTGGATGGACCGCAAGGCTAAGGGAATTCAATGGTACACGGGATTATATAAAATAAGAAACTTCGTGGGACCACCCAGTGGCAAAAGTCTCCCAGCCCAAGTGTTCTATGGGATTCGTGGTAATATGTTTAATATTGAATGAATGCGTGTTTGATATGTGGTAAGTGCCAAGTAGAAAGTCGCCTGCAATTATTTCACTGAAGGAAAACATGCCTTAAAAGGATGCGGAAAGAACGAAAAGTAAAATTTGGGAACAACTCCTATTGGTTAGTAAAGGAAACCTGTAGACCAATATAAATATTAGAGCAACTCCTACCACCAATACTGACTGAAGAGGCGGCCCTTCATTTAATCCCCGCCGAAACCAGGTTTGTTTAGATACTGCCTTCCTGGCGCTAACAACTATAAATTCCAAACTTCGTCAGGGCTATCGAGACCACCTACGGCCTCTGCATCAAAGAAACCTCACCCCTGCTCAGTTCCACTGGCACAACACATCTGACAGAGTAATCATGAATACTGAAGCACTGATTCACTAACTTCAGACGTGTCCTCAACCGTCCATCAACCACCTCCGATACTGCAATTGACCAGCTCACTCACGTGCAAACGAACAATGACGTGGAATGCCCGAATTCCCTAACAAAAACTATCTGGGCCATTTAACAAACCCCCAGTAGGAACACGCCGGGATACAAACCCTGGCGAAAATCTAAAACCTTGACAGCCCCCGGCTGATGGCGGAACTTATGACGATATTCTATGGGACATAAGGCGAGGAGAAGTTTCTTGAGATTTCAAGAAAGTTATCATCATCCATCTCTACTACTGGATTGAGTGTCAAAAAGCAATGTGACCTTTATACTGTGGCCTCTATGGCTCTCCTACTTCTTGGGGTTCGAGCCAGGCGTGAGGGCATGCATAGGGGCGTCTCCGGCCGCGCCAAGCACTTGCGCCCTCTCGCACCTCCGGTATTCTTGGTTTAGCCATGACTCGGAGCCCAAGTGAGGGAAGAGACAGTGCGGTAGATGCAGCAAAAGTATCCCTTTCTATAATATAATTCACAGGCAAGTCCCCGCGCTTGCTTCCAGCTCGGTGCGGAGCTCGCGGTGGACATCGTTGAACTCGAGGATTGAACTGTCGATAAAAGGGCATGTTCTCGGCACGCCAGTCGTCCGTGCCCTCTTCTACCCCCAGTCTTCTTGATTTGGTCATGGCCCCAGACACCAAGCACCAAGTGTGAGAGGAAAAGAGAGTGTAGTAGATGCAGCTCACGTGTACTACTATGATGATCCAATTCACACACAAGTCAACACACTAACTTCCAGCTGCTTGTAAACTATGCGGTGGACATAGTCGAAAACGACGTTCAAACTCTTACAAACTGCTGTTTGCTAAAGCAAAACTGACGAAAACAAAAAAGCACATGAAATGGTAAAGTGAAACAAGGCCAATTCTTTCAAAAAGTCCGCAACAACCATGTCCAAGACATTAAATTGGTTAAACAGCAGTTGAAGTGTTTTAGCCTCACAATTTCTAGTGCACAAATGGCTTACCTGCTGTACTGCTTATTTCCAGAGCAGAAACACAGCAAATAACAACGAAAAATTAAGTTGAGAGCCCCTCATATGGCCGCCTCCAGAGGAGTTTCAATAATTAAGACCTACTTCCAACTTTGCAGTAGGTCGCATTTCCGCCTATCCAAACCACTTTCTGAATACGATAACCAATAGGCGTTATTCTAATATTTATGTTTCTTGGCGTATAAGCTTCTTTTTACAGTCCTTTTTGCCACGTACGTAACTTATCCACTTACATTTTAAGTCTAGCAAAAGAAATACAATCGAGTTTAGTTTTTTTATTGCGCAGTTAGCACGCACCTATTCGGTCGCTGGTGTGTCTCACCCTTTCATTCCTCTTTAACGACGAATCTCGTAAGATACTTGAGCGGGGGACTTTTGCTATTGGGCGGCCATACGAGGAACTCTTCCCAAATTAATTTTGCAACTTAAACGTTTCAAGTAACCAGGCCTCTCTTGGGTGGAAGCACTCCGTTCGCAATACCAACAATGGCCCTTTTAAAGGTTCAAGTTCAAATCGTGAAGACAATCACTCAGCCTCCGAAGAACGTACCCGTAGATAGTAATCACACATAAAGTCTTCGCACCACACAGAAGGTAGCAGAGGCGGTAGCTTTAAATCCCTTCTCTCAAAATATTGAGTAAACTTCGAAGGAACTTTTGCATTGTGCGTTTTCTTTCTGTACTCTCCAACGACTGAGGATTCTGCAGGTGAAGACTGCGGCAGTAGCGTAATCGTTGGCGTCACTCTTTCTTCTTTCTCCTCTCCCGTCAAAGGAATTCTCATCCGCCTTAGCACAACAGCCTCAATGTTCTCATATTGGGGATAGTAGCCGTCGCTTGTTTGAGCCAACGCAAAGGACAGTCCATCCGTGCGTCTCACAAACTTTCTTGGGATCTATGGAAAAGACAAAGTATCGGCAATTATAAAACAAAGCCTAGAAGTCAGTCCCATGAAAAAAGTATTCAATTTTTTTCTTTTAAGTGATGTGGCATGAAAGTAAGCATGCATTCCGGTGGAATTCGGAATTGTATGTCGAGTCGGAAGGAAAGCTACAATTTACGCCCGCAATCTCTTTGACTTTGTTTGTTGATCAAGAATTCAATATTAGCACTATTTTCATATTTACAATGTTTTACATAAATATATTATATAAATTAGGAAAAACCATAAGGTACCACATGTTTACGCCGTCTATGTGATGCCAGTTTGACTAGCAATTTATAAAGAGCTAGGCACCATTGAAAAACGTGCGCAGACGCTGAAACTAGATTGCTGTTATTTATACAGAAAAAGGTTTACCCTATCCATGGTATAAGCAAGTTCAATCGCAACTAAATGTACATGTGAGAATGGACATTGGCCTTTCACGTCTCAATTTCTATTGGTTATTGTACCTTGTGCACACTCATTGATATCAAATATAACAGCAGTGTATTCCAGGAGTTAATGTCTAATTTCACTTTTTACAAAAAACATAATTGGCATGCAAATGGCCTAGCATTAGGGTTTGAGGAAACTCATAGCACTGTTTTAATCAATTTTTAACCTTTATGCAAGCAAAGCTGTAAAACACGCGTCTGCCTCGATTGTCACCTTTACGTTTAAGAAGGTTAGTGAGGGTATCCCAAGTCGGAACTTGTCTTGAACGTCTTTACCAAGGCTAGGTCCCTTTCTCTTATCTATGTGTTAGGTTCAGTGTTTGCTGTGTCTGATTTGTTAAAGCTCCACCTAAGTAGACAGAAAAGTGCACAAACATAATGGGGAGAAATAAAACATTACGCAAACAAAATTGTTACTGTCAACAAGGCCGATGGGTCCCTCGAAGTCGTTGACGCTGAGGACGTGAAAAGTCAGTCTGTTCGTGCTTTCAGTAATTCCGTTCACCCTTGCTGTAGTCTCTATGGAGTTACTAGATAGAAAAGGAACTTTGAAACATTTTCTTACTTAGTGGTTGATTTTTTAGGAAAAACCGGTATAAAGTGAAAGTTTCAGGTATCAATTACCCCTTCGTGCTCCTGTTTCCCCAAGCCAATGACACAGCACAAATCTCGGCAGAATTACGCATTCGCCCCGTCGAAACGCATAGGCACACAAATTATCCATTGGTGGGGCTTATCGGAATATAATATTAATTATAATTATTAGAAAGTGCCATTTTCTTTGAAAACGTTTAATTAGCAGACAATATCTTCTGGCACCAGATTTAGAGCAGGTGCAGGGTCAAATGTTCGCCTACCCTTTCTCAATGGATGAAGAAACATTCAATGTTCAACTGGAGAGCTGATTTACACAGTCTCTTAAACACACATTGTTAGGATTTCTCACATACAGTATGGCTAACAAACCTTGACGAGGAAAGAACTGAGGTTTATGGCCTTTATAAGGGTCCCTTTTTTACGTATGCTTTCCAATGTTTTGTCTAATTATTACTAGAACTCCATTCGAAGAAAAACATGTGTTTTTATGCGTATCGGGTAGGAGCGGGGCCCAATAGAGACGCTCATTATAAGATTCGGTTACTCCTGAAATGTTATACCATGAGTAGAGAACTAGTGAGCCTTTAAAACACGGGGTTCAAGCTTATGCTGTATTGACTATAATGTTAAATGTCAGTTAGATACGGAACAAAATACAGGCATAGTCCATATAGGTAGCCACATGCTTGCAATGCCTGTGGCTTTGAGGTGATTTCCGATTAAGGTAAGGGTTATGAAGGACTTCAGGGTTAGGATCATTATTGTGTTAAGGGCTAAGATTTGTACTCGTGGTGACTGTAAAGTTTTATGTAGAGCAAGGTTCGAGATCAAGGTTACATTTAACTTTTATTTTTGGGTTTAGGCACGTGGAGACTTACCCGACCTGACATTTGTCGCAAGGCCGCCTATTTTAGGTGAGCGGGGCATTCCTATTCCCGTTTTCGGTTTAGATGACTATATAAATCATCCACAATCAATTTTATGACCATACTACTAGATTTCCTGTTTTCACCCATTTACACGCCCCCTCCCCAAAGTTGCATATTTAATATTGCGTTTCTGTACCAGCACTTCATCGTAATAAAAGAAAAAACTTATGCTAAAAATACGACTATTCTCAATTTCTTCCACTGATTCTGTTAACTCTCTCGTTCGTCCACTCTACTGATATAGCAAATACTCTCATACTTCCCATATTACATGAGTTTCTATGCTCTATTTGTTTAATGGACTCACGTACTACATCCTCGACATGTGATGTGACTGTGAGCCCAATTAAGCTCGCAAGACCTACCATCAAAGGCTAATTAAAGCTGCTACTTCAGTTGATAGTTCAGGAGGTGGAAGCCTACTGGTTTATAATAGTTGAGCCATCCGTTGGTGACACGTAGGTGAAGCTATGGAATTCATCCTCAGGTACACGTATGCAGAAGCGCATCGCCTGTCGTCCAGGTGGTAGTCTTATTTTCTTGTCCATCACTTGCTCGCTGTTGACTTCAAATTCACGATGACCGAGCACCCGAGCTCTTCTTCGCTGGTCTCTACGATCCTCCAGTAAAATCAGGTTCTGCGAGTTCATGCCATTAAGCTAAAACCAAAAAAGGAGTAATTTAGATGACAGCTATTTACAAAATTTGGAAAGAATCGAAATCCCCTTATTATCTCCCCTATCTATTCTATGACAGGTTGTGGGGTTACAACACGGTAAGACAAGCTATGATCAGGGCTAAATGCATACTAACAAATTTATCTTCTAAAGATCATAAATCTCAGGAAAATGCCACTGCTAAAGCTTCTACTGACTGAAGATGAAAGTCATTTGACCTTTATTTTTGGAATAAAGAAAAATAACACCTGTCCGGATAGCTTGTGGACTTTGTCAGTTGCCCAGCTTATAACTGCTATTCAATGCAACAGGAACGAAAAGGTATAAAGAAGACGGCGATGAAGGACTTTAATGTAACTAGTCGAAACTTCATCTTGTATTATTTTTTTCCGGAGGGCCTACTTACCGAAACAAGGGAAACCGCAACAGCCATTGCTCCAATATTAGTCACTGTCTAGTCGCCTTATTATAATCTCGGGCCCAAATTACCTGAGATCCACATCTGAGCTCTCTAATCACTGATTATTCCACCAAAGGCCCTACTAGTAAGACCTCGCACTGTTTGCCATATTAGCTATGTTTGAAAACCTTGATTTTCTGGATTCACCAATAAGATTGCCCGTTGGAATTTGCTCCGCGCTGTGACCTTAAATTTCACCATAAATTTTGCAAGCAGTTAGATAACTGCAAGCAATTATAAATAAATAAATTTATATATTTTGAGCGCTCTGAGGGCATTACCATGGTGTAAGGCCTGACGAAGGCCTTCAATGCTGTGAATCTTCACCGGACGGTAGGAGATAATCTTAAAATTCGGATGCCCAGAGAGCTTCGCACAGACACACCATTAGCACGCCATTTACACGATGGAATAGTGACCCACCTCTGCAATGGCTCAAACGTATTGTGGCTGTTCTGGCAGTTCCACTCAATCGGAAGTACGAGCCGCCCCTTTGTGGTTTGTGTGAGATCTCGTTTTGCTCTGCGTGGACTAGGCGTGGGTGCCACGGATAGGCGGGTTGTTTACCATTGGCAGTAACTGCGCCTGATCTCCCATCTAGTCATCTTGACGCAGGTGAGAGAAGACAAAAAGGAGAGTGGATGCGGCTAAAATTACCGTCCTTAAATTCACCATGATGTAAAAGCACATGGTGGATATCGCCCATAACGGTAGTGGTAACTTCAAATCTGTGTGAATAAATTTGGGCTATGATGAATAACCTACTAAATGTTAAGTCGAAGAAGGTTCTGCGAGATCTTAAGAAGCCGGTCAGAAAGAGGTGACGGTAAAAGTTATAAATCAGTGCGGTAAGACCTGAGGTGAAGTGAATCAGATGTAAAGAGGACTTTTTGAGGTACACTTATAGTTCGGTATATTTAGGGTAGTAGGCAATGCGTTTGAAGACCTTATAGACCCTTGATATAAATAGGAAAAAAAGGAACACGTTTCAAATTACGCATCTGGTTATATACCTCCGAAAGCCTCCCCGTTCCGTCTATATGAACGAAAGTTCGATTGAGGTGAAGGACGAGTTGTGTAAGGTCTACCGGTTTTGCAACGTCAAAGATGATGCGACCCTTTATATAGTCACCGGGCCGTACCCTGGATTCGTTTATTTGCAACGTGAGCTCGTTGATGTACCTCGAAAGTGGGGCATCCTGTTTTGAATACCAAGAGGCCGCTGCTGTCCACGCGTCCGAGTCACTCAACGCGGATTCACTAAATACTGAAGGAAGAAATTGTGGTAGAAATATTGCGTCAAGTTTTAAAACAACAATTAAAAAAACTGGGCAGCGGCGCTGTTAGTTTGCTTTAATAAATAGACGGAAGTCCAGGAGTGTATAAGGGAGAAGGAGTTTCTTGTTTAAAAAAGCATTTGCTCAATTTAGTTTTGCTTGGAAAATGTACCAGATGGAAAGCTTTTGTTGATCGATTTCGGAAAAAAAACTTGCACAGGACCAAGTTACTGTTATTCAGGACGACAATAAACGATGTATTGCAGAAATATGCGGTGAAATGAGACTGCAAACTGACCGGTACTCTGTGGGTTTGCCTGAAATTGGCAATAAGAGTGTTCTTACATTGCCCCTCCTTTTGTCAACAATGAAATGAAGACAAATTAGTTCACCGATAGTTCGGAAATTCATCAGAATTTATGACGTGGGTATACAAGCGCATGGTCTTGCCCGGTCTCTCTTTGGTGCAATAAGCTATTCAGGGGATGCATTCTGCCCAATCGAACATCAGCAAACAGGAGAATTGGGGGAAGTAAGTTTTGCCACAAAAGAAGATTAAACGATTGGTTGACCCGGTGCAAGTCCTTTATCGGGCGCGGTCTTAAGGTTCATGCAATAGTTTGAAACATGTTGCATCCTAACACACTTTGTTAATTAAATGACTCCCAAAGCGAGGACGGCTTGTTGCCAATCGATTTTAGGCCATCTTTCATTGATCGAAGATGGCCAACGTCCAGGCGCATGTGCGCACGTACGTCGAACTGGAAATAACGCCACCAAAGATTGGTATTCGGTCTATGAGAATCATTTTGGTCAATGTCTGTTGGGGCGCCATGCGCTCTTTTTTCGCAGTAAGGGCTATTACTATAGCGCGATTCCTACCGTAATAGGCTCTGATCAAACTGAGAATCAGATTTAAATCATGCTTTTTCTATCGCGGGAATGAATTACGAACTAAACAACGTAAATTAAATAGCAAGTACTTCTTTGTTATCCTTTAGGACTGCCAAGAAGTGGTTTTTATTTCCTTTCAAAACACACCAAGTGCCCCTGAAATAAACATGGTGTAATCGCGAATTTTCTTCAAACTCTAAATGTTGCTGTTTAACCAAACCGTTTCGATTTGCTGGATGTACGCACCTGTATACGGATCAACGTACTGTTCCTGGCAATTTATTTATAGTTTACAGTAAAGTGATTGTACTCAACCTGATAAAGTCAGAGATAAACTGACTATTCATTAGAATGTATTGTGGAAACTACTTCGCGTTCAGTGATAGGAATCAACATCGCAACACTTCCCCTATGTATGTAGAAATGTCGAACATGGGTACTCGGACACAATTCAAAGACCCACGGACCATCAAAGCCTGAACCATGGTTCCAATAATTCTTTACTGGATCGATACAGTTCCTTTCGGAAGGTGCACCTCCAGCAAAAAGACGGCCACAATTATACAGACGGCGCCTCATTGATTTGTATTGAATATTCCGGTGTCCTATTTAGCTCTCCTGTCTTAGCAACAAGTAGCATCCCGGATCAGACTTCCCGCCAGTAATTGAACCAGGCATTCACAGAATTTGGAGATCTATTCGTAGGCTTTGACACTTATTCCAATGGAACCTTAGCTATAAGATTTCACAGCCGTTCAAATCACAGTGAAGTTCTCAGTTTGAATTATAGCAAAAGAAGAATTCGTTCCCTAATTTTACTAATCAACTGGATTGGCAACCCTCTCTTCCGGCACATTCTGTCACGCATCTTCTTGTTCGTGGCTATCATCGACCGATTGCAATTACGGCAGACTTTTCCTCTTCAAAGGACCATTTCGGAGGAGATAGCATGACGCCACTGCTTCTTCACTTTGCACCACTTCAGTAGAAAACTCTCGTAACAACACTTTGGTTCAGTTTACTTTAGCATATTTAGGGTAATAGACATAACCTTTGAAGACCCTATTAAAACCTTACAAAAATATCCTAATTAAAAAACACAAGTTATTATAAATAGGCAGTAACATATTAACATGGGAAGTTATTTTTGTAACTTGGATTAAATAACAGTCATTTCGAAGGAACAGAGATAAAATATACCAAGAAGTCGATGATAGCGTTACCTGTAGGTTTGGAAAATGGAGGTAGGGTTCCCTCTATAGTAGCACCGGTTTTCCAATTATATCTACCTTGCATCGCGATTTCTAAAACGTCTTCATCTTAGCAACATAACTATTTGGGATATAGTAATACAGACCTGCTTAGTGAAGCTCCCTTTTTTGCATACTGACAACAGAATTTTAATCTTCTTCAGAAAGACTCGGTGCGCTCGCAGTAGTTAGTAGGAGTAGGTATTAACGCGAAACTTTAAAGATGCCCCTACCTGCAAGCAAAAAGTATCCTGAGAAAAGCAGCTTCCACTTTCACAGAAGGCATTTTCATTCTCTACGTTTCTTTAAATCGTCGTACGGGATCAAGACAATTTTCAACCGGCAATTTAGGAAAACTTTATGGAATAGTATAAGATCTTCGCTGCCAGGAACGCAGGATGGCGAAAGGCTGAAAAATATTCCCATTGAAAATAACAAAGGAACGACAAATTGAACAGCCTAAGTAATATTTTGAATGCCTATACATTCATGCTGCTGTGTTTGACTAAGGTAAGGAATTCAAAGTACACCTACAAAACGAAAAGACTGCAAATTTAATGAAAAGAAAATCTATTTGGTAAACTCACCTGGTATCCCCGTTCTTCAAACTGACCTATTAGTATGATTTTTTCACAAATTTACTCGTACTGTCAACTCAGTCGTCTCGAAAAATGAACTTTAATAAAAGTTAAGGAAAGGTATCGAGAACAAAGTAGAGGCCGTAGACGTACTTGTAGAGACCAATAAATTCATGCGGTAAGGTTTACAGTCCTCGTCATCTTCATCCTCTATAATTAAACAAAAAGGACCATATGAGCTTGTTGAAAAGGGTAAAAGGAACGTAATTAGGTTCCTGTCGGCGTAGCTGAGGCCGAACGCGATGCTTAAACAGCACCCTGGGTTGCAAAACAAAATTACCAATAAAGGAATTTGGACGAATCTTTAGTTCAATGCGACTTACTAATTCGCTACGAGAAAACAGCGACTTGTTATAGAAAATTAAGTCGTCACGGTCAAAAGACAATTAATTCTTTCAAAATTAATTTCTGTATCAGATAAATAGCTTAACTTGTGGAAGTAGCCAGAGGGCCAAATCGTCACTTGTCGGAATCTTTTCAGATTGTGGATTCATGGCGTGATCCGTGCGGAAGATGTCTGAATTTTGGTTGCTAAGGGGAAAACTAAATCATAGGACCTGCCTCAACCTATTGCCGCTGACCAGCGTTGAGAGCTGTTGTTGAGACAGCAACATTTCAAGGCTGTTCCATGTCCCTTTCAGTCAACCACGCCAACAAGGAGGGCAGAAACGAAGTCTGAAATAGTACTATTTGTTGGGCAACCTACTACGGAGACGGGAACTGCAATGGATTAGCGGCCAAATGCAAAAAGAGCACGTGACAACAGGCGCCACATCAGGCCACGGCAGCTGGATAAGATGTACTGACAACCAGACAGCCAATCAGCGTGCGTTGTTGCTTTGATCACGCGTGACGGCCCAATATTCGAGAAGTTCTACGAGGACATTACAGTGTAGGGCATGCCGTAGGCCAGAATGTTGCAGATTGCTCATCGCGCACCATTGGCCGGAATATTAAAGAGCGGCCAGAACCTCAGAAACGGCCGAGAGTTAATGAGCTAGGGAATTCGCTGTAACCTCCGGCCTTGAATAAGGTCGTTTGATCTCTGAAACCGGCTCCTGTTTCGTTTTTCTGCCTAGCTGTCGGGGCAGAACAAACCCCTCTAATTACTCTTCGCCAGGTAAGACGGTTAACTGAAAAGCGGTCACCACCGCCTGACCCTGACTGTACAATGTAACTCTTTTTAAAGTTGCAAAACTACCCATCAGAGAATGTAGGAGAGTAGTTGGCGAGCATACGTCGGCCTTGTCGCCCATATTGGTGATTTCGGATATCGTATGAACTCCAACAAAGCGTTCAAGATAACCTAAAAGGTCCTATCTGGGTCGGCACCTGTTAGCAACAGTAGAAGCGACGTCGTTTGTGCAAAAGTACCTCCTACAAGCTGCATGTCTATTGTGGCCCACAGCCACTTAGTTGCCTGTACTCGTCCGCACTCTCTTTCCCTCCCTCCCCTCTCTCTTAATCCCCTCCCCCAGACTGTTTCCACCAAACCCTTCCCGCGTAATCAACCGTCTCTTACTGACCCCTTCTCCCGATTCCTACGACTCGCTTGTAAGAAAAGACGAACAATATTGACCGCTTGATTAGCTTGATCCACGTTTCCATAAAAATGTAATGGCCTTAGGATACAATTCAAATCCTTTTAGTAGATAAATTAAGCAGTCTACGCCCAGCTTAGATATACATATGAATACCTATGATTCTAGGACAGAAATAAGTTTATAACTACCATTTTTGCAGCAGTAGACAATGTAGGAGTTTGATAGACGGCTATTTCGTCTGTGGGCGGCACAGCTCCCATCCACGTAGATAAAATCGTCACTCGGGAAATCGCTGCTGACTAAAAATAAAATAGCAAAATCTGTAGGAAGCCAGCGTATACATTAACGAAGTCACTTCGCACGGACATTATACAGAACTGTTAAAAGAGGTTGTGGCGCACTTCACGGGCTCTAGGCACACAATTTCGCTGAGATCTCAATATTTTTGAATAAAATTGCACAAATAGCGCAACATCCTATACACCGAAGGTCCTCAAAAAGCAGCCCTGCTCGCAAATCAGGTCTCGACAACTAATCCGCACCGCGGTAAGGAATGAACAAAGAAGATTAAGTAGATGAAATTTGCCATCGCTACTAGAAGAGTCCTACTGCAAGGGAAGTGAAGTTGATTTTCGAATGAGGCTATTTCAGTATTCACGGGAAATTATTTCCCATGCAATGTACACAATTAGGCCTCTGGTAAATTATCACAGTGGTAGATCGGCTAAAAGACTTATTCGTCCCACTGTGCCCTCGGGCTCACCCACGAGCTCTGCTAGCAGTCGCATGGCGGCTAATGCTGAAGATTTATGTATCACTATATTAATCTTAAACATAAAAATATCCGACTTCTGATGTGGACGTTCTCTTTGCTCAATCATTAGTTTTTCTGTTTCGTATAGTTTAGAAATATGCTCAACATGGGTATATTCATAAAAACAGAAGCTGGATTTTTTGGAAGAAAGCTTGAAAACACTTAAAACAGGACGGAATCTAAAAGACGATCTGAAACTACTTGTAATGCAACACTCGAAATATATAGATGAAGAAAATTGACGGAGAAATCTTTTGATATAAAGGAAATGCTATGGATACGATTTTACCTGAAATGTATATTAAGATTTTTTAATCTAATTGAAAGCTAATTTTTACATTTGTGGAACTTGGGTATTCGAAAGAAAATGTGGTAAGAGTAGCTTGTGTAGCCCCACTCATTAATCCCTACAACCTGCATTATTTCCTACGAAAACGGTGATTATAGGCGGGAAATTAGGACACGCAGTGGAATATACTCTAATGAATGCTAAATGAATTTTTATTTTACTGTATTTAGAAGTGTTTTTGATTTATA